AATAATTGAAAGTTATTTTTCAATGCAAGGAGTAGCAGTTAGAAATCACCAGTGAAATGGAATTCTACATCCTCACAATTTGTTATTGATTATGAAGAACATCACAAATTCACTTGCATAGTGCATATAACTAACCATTGGTTAATTAATGGTTCAAGTTTCGGGTCAAGCAACTGTTTGAATTATGGTATACCATCTAGGTTTTGTGTTGCGATCGGTCAGTGGTTCAAAACCAAGATAGCGTGACCAAATTGACCAGCAATGACACCTTTTGTAATGTGCACTACAACATTGAATAACAAGAAATACTAAGGTCGACTTGTAAAATTTTTGTTGTTTTTTTGTTGACAGAACAACACTTTGTATGAGTTTTTCTTGTATTCAAGAGTAGTAAAACATAATAACCTGTGGTCCAGTGTTTTTACACAGTTTGGGTTTACTTAACTCACAAATGCTACATGTAAATCGAAATCAACTGGTATTAAACAAGGTTTCATTGTGTTTACCTGCTGATTAATGTTCTAAATAAGAGCATGTTAGAATCTGTGAATACCCCTTTAAATAATTTTAAGAAAATCTATCAAAATTTACTTTCTTTCCTTATGTTTTGGTCAAAAGGATCGACGCCACATGCCCTAACTCCTGCCTTGCTCGATATATCAACGACTGCCACAAAAGACCCAACTCCATTATGAAGAAGTTCTCTCTCTCAGGAATGATACATCTCTGCTTGTATACTTTATCCAATATCAAAATTGGAGAAGAAATCAGGTACGACTATGGGATGCTGGATATGCCATGGCGACAGGTACCGGTATGTACCATTTCTTTCTAATTTGTATCTTATACTTAGACACATAGGCTATCCTTCATCTAATTCATCTTCATCTGTACGTAGCGACAGGTTTATACCATTAATTAGAATGGTCCTTATAATAATTGGGCAGTGTTATTATTAATGTCATGTTTAAGGATATTCCCTGAGTTGGACCACCTCTTAATGACATACATGTAGTAGATATGCCCAAGAAAACCTCATTTCCAAAATGTCAGTTATGCATTAGTGTGTGCATTACATTGCTCCATATCCTACAGCGTGTTTTCTCTCGGGTCCAAGAGAAACTCAAACATGGTGATGTTCTGTCGCTATAGAATTGTCAAAATTCTAATTGTCTATATAACTCTAAAAGTCTTGTTTTAGCTCATCCGGCCCAAAGGGCCCGATGAGCTTATGCCATGGCGTGGCGTCCGTCGTCCGTTCGTCCGTCCGTCTACAGTTTTCAAAATGCTTCTTCTTCGTTATTTTTCAACCGATTTTGATTCTGATTGTTTCATATGATAGGGCTAGGACGGGAATTTAAAAATTCGACACAGAATCGTCAAATTCATTATCTATGCTAATTTATGCAAATTGATTCGAAATCACAAAAAATGCTTCTTCTCCTTCATTTCTCGACCGATTTTGATTTGGTTTGCTTTATCTGGTAGAGCTAACTTTGGTACACTAAATTTCTACACAGAATTTTGAAATTGTTCTCCATTAATTAATTATGGTAATTTATGCAAATTTATTCCAAAAATAACAAAAATTGCTTCTCCCTCATTTCTTGACCGATTTTGATTTGGTTTGCCTTATTTGGTAGAGCTAAATTTGGAACACTAAAATTATACACAGAATTTTGAAATTGTTCTCCATTAATTAATTATGGTAATTTATGCAAATTTATTCCAAAAATAACAAAAATTGCTTCTCCTTCATATTTCGACCGATTTTGATTTGGTTTGCTTTATATCGTAGAGCTAACTTTGGTACACTAAACTTCTACACAGAATTTTGAAATTGTTCTCCATTAATATTTATGGTAATTTATGCAAATTTATTCCAAAAATAACAAAAATTGCTTCTTCTCCCTCATTTCTTGACCGATTTTGATTTGGTTTGCCAAATTTATTCCAAAAATAATTTAAAAATCACAAACCCTTCCAGGGCATCAAATTTTTATTTTTTGACCAGTTCAAAAGTGTACCACATAAAATTTATGATATTTGTTGTTGCGAGATGCGGATGAGCGCTACATCATTGACGTTCTGGTTATTGAATTTGCAACGTAATTAGCCAAAAATAATCTATAAACTTTTCACCTGACCCTCCCTGCAAGATATGTGATCAAAGCCCAAATGTCATGAAAAAGGGGAAAATGCGATGTACAATGTGAATTGTGAAACCTTTTTATAAAAACAAAATCTGTTGACACAAAAACCCTGATAGCACAAAGTAAATATCTGGCCGAACCATGTATTTTGTATGCAATTTTAAGTGGATAACACAAAATCCTTATAACACAAACAAAATATTGTGGTCCTACTGATTTTGTGTTAAAGAGGTTCCGCTCCGAGGTTCAGCTGTATCATGTTTACATGTCCTACCTTTGTATGATGCTGAATTATATTTCTTGGATTCTTGATATCTTGTAGTAATGCTTTATTATCCCCTCGCCGACAAAGTCGGAGGGGATATAGTAACGCTGCTGTCCGTCCGTCCTTCCTATTAACAATTTTGGTTTCCAATCGATAACTTCAATCCTCTCTCTCTCACATGGTGCAACCGCAAGCCTACTGTATAACTTCAGTAATGTTTGACAGAATTTAATGAAATTTGATATCAAGGTACATGATATTAAAATACAGGCTAAGTTCGATTTCGGCCAAGCAGATACTTCAAGTGCATTACAGATATCAGAAGTAGGTGCACTTTATAATAGTGGTGGGCTATACAGGGGGTCAAAATCCTTAAGGTTTCTGCTCATTTAGAGGGGCATATCATACCAAGCATTTCGACACCTTTCTTTAAAAAATCGGTTAAAAAATGAGAAGGTGCAAGCCAAAAACGACTTGCGAGGCCAAGGTGGGATAGGAGAGTACGTTAATTGACCCCGGGCTCAAGTAAATTCTATTTCTGCTCATTTTGATAATTTAAAAATCAATTTAAGATCTTTAGATGCCCTGTCTCATAGATTAGTGGTAAATAAAGGTACCTTGACAGTTAAAAATAAATGTCATGTTTTAGCTCGATTTTGTGTAAAAGAGATTCCACTGTACGACAAAAAATCAGTTTAAATATGTTAAAGGGGGGTGCCAACGTTCAAAGTGTGCAAAACATTATGCAAAGATCATGAAAGTACAATTTTTGGGGAAAGGAAAGAAGTCATAAGTTCCATATCTGACCTCAAATTTGACCAAAAGTGCTGCTCAATAGTTAACAGGAAAGCTACGCAATTTATTGGTCAGAATTACCACAACTTGGTCAAAATTGTGGTCATTCTTACCTACCGTTAGTTTGTAGATTCTTCATCTTGATATTTTTATGTAAGTTTTTTTTTTTTTATTGTGACCAAAAGTGCCAAAATCTGCCTTTTGTCGCACTTTTTGGTTTAAAAAAAAATAAAACTTTTATTATCCCCTCGCCGACGAAGTCGGAGGGGATATAGTAACGCTGCCGTCCGTCCTTCCTTCCATGCGTGCGTCCGTCCGTGCGTGCGTCCGTTCGTAACAAATTTGGTTTCCGATCGATAACTTCAGTAATGTTTGACAAATTTTAATGGAATTTGATATGAAGGTACATGATATCAAAATACAGGCTAAGTTCGATTTCGGAGTATGTACCTAGGTCAAAGGTCATAGCTCATTAAATATGCAAATCTGGTTTCCATTCGATAACTTGAGTAATGTTTGACGAATTTTAATGAAATTTGATATGAAGGTTCATGGTATTAAAACAAAGTCTAAGTTCGATTTCGGAGTATGTAGGTCAAAGGTCATAGCTCATTAAATATGCAAATCTGGTTTCCATTCGATAACTTGAGTAATGTTTGACGGATTTTAATGAAATTTGATATGAAGGTACATGGTATCAAAATACATGTACAGCCTAATTTCGATTTCTGAGTATGTAGGTCAAAGGTGAAAGGTCATAGCTCATTAAATATGCAAAAACACCTACCGGTAATTATATATGTGAAAATCCTTGCCTAGAAATATAATAATATAGTCCAATGGAGGTAACTTGTTCTGACGTATATAGGCCATTTGTACCCTGCGAGGGATGCTACGCTTTGCGTTGACTTGTTTAAAAATGAATCTCATCTTACTACAGAATCAAAGTTTTATGTCTTTGATTGAGTTTGGAATTACACACCATGGATAGTGGCAATTGGCCATTGTAGTGGCATTCAAATTTAGCGATTTGTTAATATTACCAATTGATGTTCGAAAATGCATTTTAAAAAAATTGTGAATTGTCTTGCTCGCGAAATTGAAATGCATGCAAAACTTTTGCATATTATGGCTAATTCTTAATTTCTAAACTCATGAATTGTTTCCGTTTCCGATAATTTCAGGTGGGAGTTCTGGATGCTGCACCATCTGGCTCAAATGTTCACTGGACCGGTGATGACGACACTCCTGTCGCATCTGAACCATCTGGAGATGACAACACTCCTGTCGCATCTGAACCATCTGGAGATGACAACACTCCTGTCGCATCTGAACCATCTGGAGATGACGACACTCCTGTCGCATCTGAACCATCTGGAGATGACGACACTCCTGTCGCATCTGAACCATCTGGAGATGACAACACTCCTGTCGCATCTGAACCATCTGGAGATGACAACACTCCTGTCGCATCTGAACCATCTGGAGATGACGACACTCCTGTCGCATCTGAACCATCTGGAGATGACGACACTCCTGTCGCATCTGAACCATCTGGAGATGACGACACTCCTGTCGCATCTGAACCATCTGGAGATGACGACACTCCTGTCGCATCTGAACCATCTGGAGATGACGACACTCCTATCGCATCTGAACCATCTGGAGATGGCGACACTCCTGTCGCATCTGAACCATCTGGAGATGACGTCACTCCTGTCGCATCTGAACCATCTGGAGATGACAACACTCCTGTCGCATCTGAACCATCTGGAGATGACGACACTCCTGTCGCATCTGAACCATCTGGAGATGACGACACTCCTGTCGCATCTGAACCATCTGGAGATGACGACACTCCTGTCGCATCTGAACCATCTGGAGATGATTCCGATAGTGATTATGAAGCCGAATCTGATCCAGAAGGTAGTAGCAGTGATGAGGCTGATTTCATTCCATTTCGGTTTGTACGTGGACGTCAAAGTAACTCTGTGGCAGTTTCTGTCAGTGATAATAAGGAGAGTGAAGCCATGCCTGTTGACCATTCAGTACCTAATACCTCACCTGCCCATGCCTCTGCAAGTGTTCAAAGTGCAAAAGTCTCAAGCTCCAGTTGCAGTATTAATGTGATGACCACTTCAAACAACAACTGTAGAAAGTGGGACAAACCTCAGTACTGTAAATTTTGTAGTCAACCACAAAAGAAACTGCCGAGGCATCTGCTTACACCACAACATGTCAACGAGACTGAGGTTCAGCAATGGATTGCAACTAAAGACATGAAAGAAAAGGCAAACTTGCTAGCTAAAATGAGAAATTACGGAAACTATCGTCACAATGTCAAAGTCCTTCAAGAAAATAAAGGTACCTTGATTGTTGCATACAGACCGAAATATGATGTGGATCCAGAAGAATATTTGCCATGTAGTCATTGTTATGCTTTCTATTCCAAGGATGATTTGTACAGGCATGTTCATAGATGTAAATTGCGACCAGATGTTGAGGATGAGGATGAGACCTGTGAACCACCCAAGAAGAAAAAAAGAACCTTACATGTTCAAACTGGTAGAATGATGCTTCCAGGCCCATCAGGAGTAAGCCCAAAGGTGCACATGATATTATCAATGGGAGTCGATGATGATATATTGAGAGTTGTGAAATCAGATAGATTAATGCAGCAAGTAGCAGAGAGGCTGACATTGAAGCATGGGCATGACAAAGACCAGTATTCATATATACGGCAAAAATTGCGTGAACTTGCACGACTGGTTCGTGAGTACAGAAAATTGAATGATCACCCATCGGCTTCATTAGTAGATTTGATTTGTCCTACCAAATTTAATGAGGTCATAGCTGCAACTAGGAAGGCTGCAGGATTTAATGAGGATACACATTTGTACACAACACCTAGCCTGGCACTGAAAGTCGGATATACACTGGTGACGGCTGCCAAAGTCCTTATGGGAAATGCTCTGTTGCAAGCAGATGCTGGTTTGGAAAAGAAATGCAAACAGTTCATCAAATCATATACTCTCAAGTGGGAAGCAGAAGTAAGCACACATGCACTGCGTACATTAAAAGTAAACAAGAGAAATACATCAAGGCTGCTTCCTTTGACAACAGATGTTGTTGCACTGTCCAATTATGTGAGAAAAGAAACAAAAGAGGGAAAACAGAAGCTGAACAGCTGCAGTAGTGATGAGACCCTTGACAGATGGAAACAGTTGGCTGAGGTTACCCTGACCCAGGTGTGTGTTTTCAACAGGAAGCGTCCGGGAGAAGTTTCAAAGATGCCCCTCAGTGATTACAAGTGTATCACAAAAGGAGAAGGTGGAATATTTGGTGAAGGCCTAACCAAATGGGAAAAGGCGTTGTGCAATGTGGTATGGAGGGTGGAGATTAATGGGAAATGCAATAACACTGTACCCGTTTTGCTAACAGATGACATGAAAGGCAGCATTGACTTGTTGATGGAGAAAAGGTCACAAGTAGTCAATGATGGAAATCCCTACTTGTTTGCAAACCCCGATGGAAGAGGCCACTTGAGAGCAACTGATACAGTGCGAAATCATGCCCAAAAGTGTGGAGCAAAGTATCCAGATCAGCTTAGATTGACAAAACTCAGGAAGCACATTGCTATCAGCTCTCAGATCATGAATTTGAAGGATAATGAAGTGGACATTTTAGCCACCTTCATGGGCCATGACATAAGAACCCACAGAGCCTACTACCGCCTGCCAGATGCGTCACTGCAAGTAGCAAAGATTTCTAAAGTACTCTTCAGCATGGAGAAGGGAGACCTAAAGGCAATGGCAGGAAAGACGTTGGATGATGTTCGTGTAGATGCAGATGAAGGTATGACTATTTTTTATGTTTTGTGCTAGATAGAATGGCTGAGAATATGCCATACCATTTTCATTTCCTTCTACTTTTATCTAAAGTGATATCTGATTGGTTAGTGAGATCATAACGGTTTCTAGTTTGAGATTACATTAGGCCAGAAAACTTTTATGTTACATCTCAATCATTCATTTCACTCTCATACAACACAGTTTTTATATTGTATAATTTCCTTAGTTTTGTATGCTTGCTATATCCTTCAGTTTGTGAAGTTCCATGCTTTTGGTAAGCAAACTGGGATGTCTTCATTAGTACCTCCAGTTTTAATAAGAATTGATCCGAGATACAATATATGGGAAGCTGCCAACATTTCAAATACTTGAATATGTGATTTGATTTTTGTGTCGCCTTACTGAACGTTCATGGTGGCACATACTAATCCAAATTATCTATGTCCGTCTTTCCATTAACCGATTCGGTTAACGTTTTCGGTTAACCCTTCTAAAAATGCTCCGCAGGCTAAACGCTATGCTTGATTTACTCCAAAACTTGGTAGGATGATCCGCAGGTTAAACGCTATGCCCGATTTACTTCTAACTTGGTAGGGTGATAGAGTGAGGTGCCACAATATCATGTGTTGCTTTGAGCTGTATTATTTGCATATTCATGAATTTCAATTAGCTTATTTGCAATGCAATTTAGGTTAACCTTAAAAAAAATGCTCTGCAGGCTAAACGCTATACCTGATTCATTTGAAACCTGGTAGGGTGACAGACTGAGGTGCCAAGATGTTGTGTGATGCTTTTCATTGCATTATTTGCATAATCATGACATTTAATGAGCTAATTTGCATATTTTGATATATTTTGGATACTCATGTGTTTTAAAAAAATGATGACACTTGCAGAATTGTCTCTCTAAATACACTTTGTATTGAAGAGTAGTTGTGGTACCAGCTGTGCTGTTTACATGAAAAGCAAAACAGGGATGACTATCCACAGCTGTCTGCTATGAACTTACCCTTGCAAAGATTATAATGTACATGTATGTTATTTTTCACCTGCTCTTGTTAAATCTGTGTTTGTTTTTTGTTTTTCAGAATGCAACATAGATCCAGATGTTGATGATGATCCTGACAACGAAGTGAACAGGCCCGATGATGCTGTTTTGATGGATGAGATGTCAGACAAAGAAAATGAAGGTGTGAATGAATTACTTTGTTATATCCTTTGTTAGGCCTCCGTTACGAAGTAGCCGGAGGCATTATGTTTTCGGGTTGTCCGTCCGTCCGTCCGTCCGTCCCGTTCTCGTGATCGCGTTATCTGAAGAACCGATTGATGGATTCCTGCCAAACTTTGGTCATGTATGTATCTTGCAGAGCCGATGGACTGATAAGATTTTGGGGTCACAAGGTCAAAGGTCAAAGGTCACAGGGCTCATTATGTATGAAAAACAGCTCGTGATCGCGTTATCTCAAGAACCGATTGATGGATTCCTGCCAAACTTAGGTCATGTATGTATCTTGCAGAGCCAATGAACTGAGTAGATTTATGGGTCATGAGGTCAAAGGTCAAATGTCATGGGCTCATTATGTATGCAAAAACAGCTTTATCATTAGAACTGACAGATGGATTACTATTTAATTCAGGACATCTTGCAGAGCCAATGAACTGAGTAGATTTTAGGGTCATGAGGTCAAAGATCAAAGGGTCATATATGTATATGAGAAATTGCTTGTAATCACGATATTCTGAGAACCTGTTAATGGATTACAATGAAATTCGAATTTGAAAAATTTCTTCTGTTTTGGTTTGTAAACTTGCTCTATGACGGAGGCATCATTTTCGAATGCGCGCAGTCGAAGTTCCATCTAGTTTATCCTTACTTTGATTATTCCAGATGCCCTCAACAGGTGATTATCCTTGTGTCACTATTTGAATTTTAGCATTCGCTTAGTTTGAATTCTGGCTAAATGGCACTCCTAATGCAGACAGCTTTAAATGAAGAACTAGCTAAAAGTAATGTAAATTGTAACTTTAAAAAAAAAATCAAAATATAACCATTCCACTCTTCTCTCAGCTACCATCTTCTGCATTTGGTTAAGTTTTTTAAAATCTGTCATTGAACCTGAAACATTAATTGTGTTTCCCTACTTATTTGTCTAATTCACTATTAAAGGTATGAGCATGCCGCAGCAAAGCAGAAAGAAGAGTGACCAAGTTGCAAACAAGGAAAGTGACCGTGGTGCCAGCAGAAAGAAAAGGAGTATCAGACAATCTTGGACAGCTGAAGAAAAACAAGCAATACACAGACACTTTAAAGAAGAACTACGCTCACGCCAACTGCCCGGTAAAGAAAAAATAATGAAGTACTGCAAGATGGATGCAGACCTGAAGGGTCGTACTAAAAGGTGGACAACAGTCAAAGATTTCATTAGAAACCAAATTAGAAAGACAAATCCACTGGATTTTTAGTGAATTTTCAACCTGTTATGAGTGAAATTAATCATGTTCATCACACTCCGCAATTTTGGATGAAATCTTTTCAGGTACTGACATGCGTAAAATGTGGTTGCTTCTTATTCATATAACCCACTTACTGGTTTCCTTGATGAAGGGCTGTGCTTTGGAAGAGGTGCACCTTTATATAGGTTAACAGTTAACTCCATGGCCAGGAAGCATACTGTGTGTAAAGCAGTGTATGGTTCTGCAAGTCAAATGGGAACTTAATAGGAAAAACTTAATTACCTGCCCAGTTGGTCAGGGCCAGGGAGTAGACTTGTGTCTAACAGTATGTATACTGTATAGAAGATTGTAAGGCAAATGGGAACTTTTGTGCTAAAGTTGTTTGATAAGCCCCAGTTTGCCAGGTTAACGTTTTGCAGTTTAAATGATGACTTACAGGTCAATTTTATCAGCTCCCATATCACCAGATGGTCAACGTCAGTGAGCATCACATGTGTAACAATGTGCATAAAGGTTTACAGGTCAAACTCCAACTTTGCTCACTTCCCCTAGATTAGGTTCATGGTTGATAGGACTCGTGATAGGACTAGATGTATAATGTTTTCCATATCAACTGGGAATTAAGAGCCAACTGTGATCAGGTCCTCAGTTGGCTTAGACCATGACAAGGAAGCATCCACATGTGTACACTATGTAAAATAAAGTTTGCAGGTCAAATAGGGACTTTAGGCCAACTTTGCTTGGCTCCCCAGTTAAATAGGCCAGTATGTAATGTTTTGCAATCAACTAGTGACTTATGGGCAATTTTGATCAGGTCCTCAGTTGGCTTGGGTCCGATTACCAGGAAGCATCCGCATGTGTACATTGTGTGAAAGTTAAGTTTGTAGGTCAAATGGGCACTTTTGGTCAACTTTACTTGGCTCACCAGTTGATCAGGGCCATGATGACTCGTCAAAGGACCGCTATGTATAATGTTTGGATTTAAGAGCCAACTGTGATGATCGAGGTCCTCAGTTGGCTAGTTCCAGCTGATGAGGAAGCATCCACATTGTGTAAACTAAAGTTTGCACGTCAAATGGGGACTTATGGCTAACTTGACTCGTCAAAGGCCCGCTACTTGCAAAATTTAGATTTTTAAGTACATTGCAGATCAAATGGGACATAGCTACCACCTTTGATCCTCAATTAGTCAAGGCCAGGTGAAGTCCCATGAAATTGAAAATTGTGTAAAAAGTAACATGTCTAATTTTGATTTATGAGACAACTTGGTTAGCAGTTGGGTTTTGACTGTTGGTCAATTACCATGGACCTTTGGCCTTTATTAGACTTTATAAATATCTCACCACTCTTGTCCAATTTCATCTAAGTTTGGACCCTTTTTTTCAAAAAAATCATCAAAAAGTAGACCATTTGCCCCTTTTGTGAAATTTAATCAGGTCCTCGCACTCAGCTATTGGGTAGGGCCAGATAACCATTAAAGCATAATCATGTGTTCAATGTGTTTCTATTAAGTTATGTCTGCAGATCAAATGGGACTTTGTACCATCTATGATCAGATCCCCAGTTAGTCAAGGCCAAATTGTGAATAAAGTTTTACAGATCAAATGTGGACTCAAAGCTTGCCAGCTTCGATAATTTTCCAGTTGCAGTCAATTATCAGGGAGCATTGACCAATGTGTAACAGTTTGTATAAAGATTTGCAGGGTAAGTGGGGTATATTTCTGCGACAAACTATGATCAGCTTCTGAGCCAAGAACATTGTTTATTTAAGGATGCACTCAGCAACATGCTTTATGCAGTATAGTTCATCTCGTATGTAACTCAAAAACTATTGATGGGAAGTGTATAAAGGTATACATTTTCTGGCTGAAAATGACCTGTTAAATCCATTGAACACATACAATTTGGACAACAATTTATCATTTTTTTTACCCATTTTTTTCGACCACCATAAATAAAATATCCTTGCAACAAAAAATTATTTTCCTAGTGTCCAAAATATAACTCACAATGTACCAAAAATATAATAACCAAGTTTGAACTTATGAGTTGTGGGCTATAAAAAAAGTTCTAGGGCCTAATTACAAAAAAACGTTACTAGATTTTAGTAGGTACAATGTATTCTGTATGAAATCTTAAATCAGAAATGTTTTATTTTTGAGTCCTGAGGGTTCAAAACTCATATAAACTATTAAAAATGAAATGGCTGAAATTATGATTTTATGCAGAAACATGGATTTTCAGTTGCATTTTCAATCTCATCTTGAAAACCCCAAGATCCTGTGTCTCGATCCTGACTTTGGTATACGGTTGCCGACAATATGCTGCATCCGATGGTACATTAGACATTTTTTCCAATTGAATTTATATGGATTTGAGAGTAAACGTCCACATGGTCTCACCATCTGTTTACATTGCTTGCTGTTTCCATGGGCGTTGTGTCACGTAGATAGATTGCGCGGATATTGCACATCGTGTTGCAATGTGACGGGACACGTAGCATGCATCGCATAAACGGACACTGTCATTTTGCGTTAAAAAAGGTTTCATCTGTAGTTTTGTTAGATTTTAAACCTGAAAAGGGTCCACAAAACAGTTTTTGATGGTTCAATGTTTATATTAGCATCACAGAATTTACTGACATGATGGAACAGAGTTTGAAGATAGCAATAAAAAAAAAATCATTTAAGGGTATGGCAAACTTTGACGTTGCTGGGTGCATCCTTAAGTTGTAGGTAATTACATGTTTTAAGATGTTAAAAGTTGTGTAGATCAAATGGGGACTTTGCAGGCCAACCTTGATTATTACCTCCCGGCTGGTCGTCCTAGGAATTGAATAGCCCATGTATAAAGGTTTTCAGCTTAAACGGGGACATATGATGCTCACTTGTGTTGACCCAGCTGGGGAGATAATAAGAGTTAGCCCCAAAGTCCCTTTGCAAACATGAGATGCTCCATTGCATTTCTCCAATCTGTGATCTGATCAAACTTGTTAAGGTACTATGCCCATTCAAGTTTGATATCTCCTCATTTGGCTGGGATCAGAAGCATCTTCGTTCCTGTACTGTGTAGAGTAGCAACTCATTTACACAAAGTTGGTGGGGGTTTGGATTTAGGTTTGTGTTATCAGGATAGAATGAAATTTACAAGAACACCTTGGAAATTGAATTCCTCTTTGTATTATTTGGAACTTTGTGTTAAGAAAAGGGTTTGCAAGAACGAGTTGCCACTGTATGAGGTAATTTGTTGGTCAAACAGCGACTTATGGGTCAGCTTTGATAAGCTACAGAGTTGGTCACCTCCAATCTTGCATATACCATTGAGTGTATTCAATTTTTCATCCAGTGTTGTTTTGAACAGTTTTATAGTTTTACATACATGTACACAATCTATATAAAGTTCTGAAATGGATAGTGCATGCAAGAGTGTTTTGTTCATATATGAAAATGTGACATATTACAAATTTACCCTTGGTTCAGTTTGTTGTTATGAATTTCTGATGTTTGTGTTTGTTTTTGTTTTTTGTAAAGAGTGAGTTAAATGTCTTAACAAGACATGTTCTCATGCAATGCAATCAATGCAATCAATTGTTAATCTTTTCCTGTTATGTGGAAAAAAATGTGTATGCTTTAAGTAATGAATACCCTTTGTTTCATCACAACTTCTGTAGTGACATCACCTGCAAAGAACACTTTTTCTGGGTTTGAATTCCAAGCGTGATGACCACCGCCAATTATAAGTGTGGGTTCTGCTTCTAAAGGAACATTAAAAAAATAGTTTTTATTGAATTGAATCTTGTCTTCCTGATGATTTATAAAATATTTTAGATGGGAATCTGTAGATGAGTTATACAACAAATGATAAATGTTTTATTCATCGGATAGAATATTTTCATTTTAGTGGAAGATTGGCCGTTCCGCCAGCTCCTGGTATGGTGCAACTAATCTTTCACCTCATGAAAATATTCTTACCAGAGCACTCTCAAATTATATGTATAACATTTTGTTATTTGATGTAGCTAGTATGAGCAATGTTGTAATACATTTGTTAGTTGTGTATTAAAATGTAACCACTAGCCTGTATTAAACAGTATATCATATTATAATAGTTAGATCAGGTATATACAGTTTACAATTCACCGTTCATAGTGTACATGTTAAAAAAGTTGATTGTTCAGTATTATTGCAGTTAAATGCTGGTTGACCAAAATTTGTGGAATGGCTGGTATTTCAGAAAAGGAGTTGAAACAGAAGGTCAGGTTTATCATTGAAGAAATATTATTTGGGCAAAAGCTGTTTTATATCAAATTCATTCTAAAAATAAATCATGTTTTGTATTATAGGTATACCTACACTACATTGTACATTACTCTGTATTTTACCAAAATGTCTGTAGTGACATCACATGCTTTTCGTGCGTGCTTCATGATCGTTAAGATAAGGTGATTGAATAGGCATGGACAGGTTGATACGCTTGGAACGCAAACTAGTTGACGTCACTACAAATGTTTTGTGAAACAAAGGGTATTGTCGTCGTATTCAAATTTGAATTTAGATTCTCTGTAGGGCCCACCAGTGGGAATAGCCCAGCACCCATAGACAGTCAAAATGAAGAATGATGTGCAAAACTATAATGCTGGTTGAAGAGATGAATGATCACTATGTCTGGTTTGTCGTCTACGTCGGACTATAACCCAACTCCATGGACAATGTGACCTATTATCTGACATGAAAGTGATAATTTAAAATGTCTATATGTAGTCCATTTTCCAACAGTTTTGTTTGACTGTATTTCTTTGCCCAATACTTTTGTACAAAGAAGACAAGATTAGCACAAAAGTGATGTATTGGTCATGTTTTGATGTTACTATCCATCCACTAAAATGTAATGTTTATATGTTCATAACATATCACTTTGTAACCCGAGTTCTATACAAAAATGAAATGGATTATGGAATTCGGAATCCTGGGTTCAGAACACAAATATGCTGATACTTTCCACTTGCTTTTATTAACAAATGTAACTTTCATTCTTTAAATTAAGATCTTGATTAAAGAGACACGGGCATATTTGGGAAATATTTGTCCAACTCTGATATTTCTGTTGCGATCTTATTTTGATGTACACATCTTGACTGCCCAGCACGCCATTCCAAAGTGGATATTTTCAAAGCAGATACTAATGCCCTCGCTGGGACTGAAGGTTTTTGTAGGGATTTTAAATAAAATGTTATTATTCAGATCCATATTCATGCCGCCTTTAAAAGCAAAATCACCACTTACGATTTTTTTTTTTTTTAACAGCTTGAAGCGAAATACATTAGTTTTTATCATGTCAGATTTCAATTTTGTAACATCTAAACATGAAAATTAAGGTTTTGCAAAAACGCTATTCAGAAGCTTAGTACTCAAACTCTTTCTTGTGTATACCAAATTATGATAGAGGTAAATATTAATGTTATGTAGTTTGCTACTCCAATTTCAATATTGCAACACCATGATTCACTTTTATATGGGAATTTTTGTTTTTAAAGGTCACTGGGGGCTGATTTCACTGCAAAAGAAGGCATGAATATGGGTCTAAACAATCCCCAAGTTGCGAGTAACTCCTCTCCTACCATACCTGTATAACAGCCCACCTATGTGTTCGTTGTCCTCTGAACTGAGATGTATCATGTTTTGTTGGAACCTTGTTTTATAAGCCTTATTTTTTCAAAGTTGTCTTTAATAATAAAAACAGTTTTGCTGTATTTGAAAGGCATGTCGAAGTATTTTATTTTATATTAAAGGGGCATCTCATGTTTTTATGATTTTATTCCGGCTTATCTTGATACTCCACCATGTGAATGAAACAAGGTCGTAACTGACATTTTGGGCACAAATTAGTTTTCTTTTTATTTTGAAAGAATTAAATATTCATTTTTTAAATTAGACTTCAAGTCTCAAATTTAAACAGTTTTATTTTATAAAAGAAAGAAGATGGTAAGAGACAAAGAAAACAAAGTTGAACACAAAATGGCTTCTCCCGCAAAATGAAGAAAATGTAGATACGACCTTTGTTGCATGCACATGATGACTTATAAGTTTGCAAATGGTTGGTTTTTGACATATTCACCTGAAAAACAACAATATGGTAATAAGACTATCTTGGAAACACTTAGGAGGCATTAGATAGGATTTTTAGATAGGGTTTTTGCAAGTTTGTTCGTCAATCTGATAAATCTTCAGAAAACCTGTTACACTATGTTTAAGCATGATACACTCGCCAATTATACGATTTACTGGATTGATACAGCTATATTCACTATTAGTTATTTGATTTGAGAAATTTATTATGAAATGATTTCGTTCTGTGAACGGAAAGAAATTAAAATGTTCATACATTTTAGGATTTCTATCGTGAACATGTAGATCTGCAGAACAGGTGGCGAAGGTTTCAGATGGCATCAAAATCTGGGGTGGTTTTGTATAAATCCGGGGGGGGGGGAATGTTGTGGATCACGAAATGCCCCTTTAAATGTCTTTGAGTTGAAACATTTGAACTTGTCAATGAAGCAGCTGTGCTGTGCTATGTCCCGACCCTTTGAACCATAATGTAGGCACCCTTTTTCACCTGACAGTTATTATATTTAAAATGAAGACTTATAAGGAGAAGAAGTACCCGATTCACAAAATACTAGTTCATTTTGGAAAATGGCGTCGTAAACAAATTACCACCACGTTTAAATTTGTCATGACCTGTTTTCATGCACTCCACATACCTACTGTAAATTTCAGCTCTGATGACAAAATGAATGTGGTGTTTTGTTTTGTTTTCGGCCCCGGCTGGTTGGTGATGTAGCACTAGACGCATGAAAAGTGGGTTAAATACACCCTGAAATAAAGAAGTCCACGTTTTGACAGGAAGAAAAGCAGGTCCACGTTTTCATGTAGGGGTCAAGCGTTACCCAAGGTCCACAGTTCACAACATCGAGCCCTCGGTTACATTAAAGTCCACAGTAATTTTGTACTATTGAATCAGAAAGAGATTTAAACATGTTACTAAAAGGAATTCCTTTTTTTTCCAAACGAAGTTTTTAAATGAGAAATTTTGTACTAGTCATTTCCAAGTCAACATTATCAAAATACACCCTGAAATAAAGAAGTCCACGTTTTGACAGGAAGAAAAGCAGGTCCACGTTTTCATGTAGGGGACAAGCGTTCCCCAAAGCCCACAGTTCACCACATCGAGCCCTCGGTTACATTAAAGTCCACATTAATTTTGTAATATTGAAATCGGGAAGAGATTTAAACATGTTACTAAAGGGAATTCCTTTTTTTTTTCCAAATGAAGTTTTTAAATGAGAAATTTTGTACTAGTCATTTCCAAGTCAACATAAAAAAACACCCTAAAATAAAGAAGTCCACGTTTTGACAGGAAGAAAAGCAGGTCCACGTTTTCATGTAGGGGACAAGCGTTCCCCAAAGTCCACAGTTCACCACATCGAGCCCTCGGTTACATTAAAGTCCACATTAATTTTGTAATATTGAAATCGGGAAGAGATTTAAACATGTTACTAAAAGGAATTCCTTTTTTTTTCAAAATGAAGTTTTTAAACGAGAAATTTGTACTAGTCATTTCCAAGTCAACATTATCAAAATACACCCTGAAATAAAGAAGTCCACGTTTTGACAGGAAGAAAAGCAGGTCCACGTTTTCATGTAGGGGTCAAGCGTTACCCAAAGTCCACAGTTCACAACATCGAGCCCTCGGTTACATTGAAGTCCACAGTAATTTTGTACTATTGAAATCGGGAAGAGATTTAAACATGTTACTAAAAGGAATTCCTTTTTTTTCTCCAAATGAAGCTTTTAAATGAGAAATTTAGTACTAGTCATTTCCAAGTCAACTCCAAAATACACCCTGAAATAAAGAAGTCCACGTTTTGACAGGAAGAAAAGCAGGTCCACGTTTTCATGTAGGGGTCAAGCGTTACCCAAAGTCCACAGTTCACCACATCGAGCCCTCGGTTACATTAAAGTCCACAGTAATTTTGTAATATTGAAATCGGGAAGAGATTTAAACATGTTACTAAAAGGAATTCCTTTTTTTTTTTCCAAATGAAGCTTTTAAATGAGAAATTTAGTACTAGTCATTTCCAAGTCAACATTATCAAAATACACCCTGAAATAAAGAAGTCCACGTTTTGACAGGAAGAAAAGCAGGTCCACGTTTTCATGTAGGGGACAAGCGTTACCCAAAGTCCACAGTTCACATCATTGAGCTCTCGGTTACATTGAAGTCCACATTAATTTTGTACTATTGAATCGGAAAGAGATTTAAACATGTTACTAAAAGGAATTCCTTTTTTTCCAAATAAATTTTTAAACGAGAAATTTGTACTAGTCTTTTCCAAGTCCACATCAAAATACACCCTGAAATAATGAAGTCCACGTTTTGACAGGAAGAAAAGCAGGTCCACGTTTTCATGTAGGGGACAAGCGTTACCCAAAGTCCACAGTTCACAACATCGAGCCCTCGGTTACATTGAAGTCCACAGTAATTTTGTACTATTGAAATCGGGAAGAGATTTAAACATGTTACTAAAAGGAATTCCTTTTTTTTCTCCAAATGAAGCTTTTAAATGAGAAATTTAGTACTAGTCATTTCCAAGTCAACTCCAAAATACACCCTGAAATAAAGAAGTCCACGTTTTGACAGGAAGAAAAGCAGGTCCACGTTTTCATGTAGGGGTCAAGCGTTACCCAAAGTCCACAGTTCACCACATCGAGCCCTCGGTTACATTAAAGTCCACAGTAATTTTGTAATATTGAAATCGGGAAGAGATTTAAACATGTTACTAAAAGGAATTCCTTTTTTTTTTTCCAAATGAAGCTTTTAAATGAGAAATTTAGTACTAGTCATTTCCAAGTCAACATCAAAATACACCCTAAAATAAAGAAGTCCACGTTTTGACAGGAAGAAAAGCAGGTCCACGTTTTCATGTAGGGGACAAGCGTTACCCAAAGTCCACAGTTCACCACATCGAGCCCTCGGTTACATTAAAGTCCACAGTAATTTTGTAATATTGAAATCGGGAAGAGATTTAAACATGTTACTAAAAGGAATTCCTTTTTTTTTTCCAAATGAAGCTTTTAAATGAGAAATTTAGTACTAGTCATTTCCAAGTCAACATCAAAATACACCCTAAAATAAAGAAGTCCACGTTTTGACAGGAAGAAAAGCAGGTCCACGTTTTCATGTAGGGGACAAGCGTTCCCCAAAGTCCACAGTTCACCACATCGAGCCCTCGGTGAAGCTTTTAAATGAGAAATTTAGTACTAGTCATTTCCAAGTCAACTCCAAAATACACCCTGAAATAAAGAAGTCCACGTTTTGACAGGAAGAAAAGCAGGTCCACGTTTTCATGTAGGGGTCAAGCGTTACCCAAAGTCCACAGTTCACCACATCGAGCCCTCGGTTACATTAAAGTCCACAGTAATTTTGTAATATTGAAATCGGGAAGAGATTTAAACATGTTACTAAAAGGAATTCCTTTTTTTTTTTCCAAATGAAGCTTTTAAATGAGAAATTTAGTACTAGTCATTTCCAAGTCAACATCAAAATACACCCTAAAATAAAGAAGTCCACGTTTTGACAGGAAGAAAAGCAGGTCCACGTTTTCATGTAGGGGTCAAGCGTTACCCAAAGTCCACAGTTCACCACAGTGGCGGATCCAGGGGGGCGCCCCCCCCCCCCCTGGGCACAAAAAAGAAGGAGAAAAAAAGTGGGACAAAAGGAAGGGGAAAAAAAGGGGGAAAAAAGAAGGGAAAAAAAAGATGGGAAAAAAAAAGAATGAAAAAAAAAGAGAGAGAGAGAAAGAAAAGAAGGGAAAGAAAGAAGAGGAAGAAGAAAAGAAAAGGAGATCGGGGGCGAAAGGGCCTCGCCTCCCAGGCTGTTGCCTCCCCCCCCCCCCCCGCAATCAAAAAAATAAGAGAGAAGGAAGGAAATGGAAAGAAGAAAGGAAAAGAGGAGATAAACGGAAGGAAAATTGAGGAAGAAGAAAAGAAAAGAAGGGGGTATCAGTTGCAATTTTCCCGCCAACAAGTTGTGGATCGGGGTGGGGTGAGGCAAAACGCCCTTGCTCCCCCCCCCCCAGCAAACCTAAAAGAGAGAGAAGGAAGGGAAGGGAAAGAGGAGAGAAAGGGAAAGAAATAAAGAGAAAGAAGAAAGGTAAGGGAGATCAGTTGCGATTTTTCCGCCAACAAAGTGTAGATCAGAGGGGGGGGGGGGGGGGGGGGGGGGGGGGGGGGGGAGGGGGGGGGGGGCACTGGCGTACTGAGGGGGCTCGGGGGAAATCAAATGTTAACGTAGTTTATTTCTAATTCCATAACGGTGGTTTACACATAATGCTGAAATTACATAATTTTCAGAGATTTTTCCTCATTTTTTAGTAAATTATACTTTTTATGCGCTTGTTGTAAAATGACAAACTCCTAAATTTACAGCCAGGCAAGAAATATGCTTCTTGAGATGCCTACATGTCAGGGCTCGGGAGCCTCCAGCTCCCCCCCCCCCCCCCTCCCCACTTTTTTGAAAAAGAATATTAAAAAGAAATAGAAAGAAAGAGAGCAAGAAAGAAATAATAATAATTACAGTGCTTATATAGCGCCTAACACTTACTTTGTCAGAAGTCTCTAAGCGCTCTACAATAATGCAGCATAATTACCCTGGCTTTAGCAGTGCAGCTGTTACGCGCGCTGCGTTTCAAGGAATAAATT